TGTATTAAGACTTAATCTTCTAGATTTGTGATACTGTTCAAAACATTCAGGGGTTATGCATTGCCAATGCAAAGAGGCCCTTCCCGTCCTGCTGGCTTCTTCTCCAGCTGGCTTCACACTGCTTCTCCACTCTTCTGTCCTCCTACCTAACCCTTTGCCCAACGTCACTTCTCATTCTTTCCGTACAAGCCCCTGCCCTGAGCCCCTGCCCACTGGGCTTATGCGCTAGGATGTGAGTGTGCTGGGCCCAGGAGCCCCATCTCAACCTTGTCTCAGCCGGAGTATCGCTCTCTCCTGGAGCCTCCCAAGCAGGCCCCTGGTCCTCCCCTCCGCTGCCCCCCACCTCCTCTCGTCCTTCTGGACGTGAGCTTCTTGGGGACCTCTCACTCCGGTCTGCAACACCGCACACGTGGCCACGGCCACCACTGCCGCTGCTCAGCACATTCCCACCAACCAGCAGTCCCTTCTGGACCAAACCACCTGTGTATCAGTCGCCCGTTTCCAGATCCCACATCTTAAATAGTCCCACCACGTTGCCAACGATGCTAAAATTGTTTTCTACAAAAATAAGCAGGTTTCATGAAGCAAAATGCAGATGATATGAGGTGTTCTGAATCGAACCACTAAGGACACAGGGAAAAGATAAAGAAATGGGCCTTTGACAAACACGGGACACTTCCCGGGGCACAGCCAGCGTGGAGGGACCCACATCACCAGTGAAATGACCTGGGAACACAAACGAGGACTGGTCAGCTGCAGTGAGTGGGCGGTGAACATGGTGTTCCCCGTGCTGGTCCCGCAGCTCAGCAGCTGAAATGAGTCCCTCAGACTGCCAGCCTCCCCGCTCTCCCCTTTCTCTCTGGAGTATTGAGAAGCGAGGGCAACTTTTATTTGCAAGGCTGCTGGTAGTATCTCCGGCCTCGCATAGTCCCCTTCTCATGTCTCTCATGTGCTGTAGTTTACTGCATTTCATTTTAGGCCCAAGGCTAGATTATTAAGGACTGAATTGGAATTTTCCATAATAACTGCAATAGAAACTCCGGCCAGCATCCTGCCTGCTGTTCGGCTTTTTCTGTCTCTTCACCTGCTATGGCTGTGGCAGTGGAACTCAGGTGAGCCGACAATACACACACGTCGTCTTCACTCTGGTCCTTTCTTGCTCAAACTTCCTAAGAGCAAGATGATGTGGGAACGAGGATGTGTCTGTGGATGTGCAGGACTTTGAATAATTAGCTCCATACTCTATAAAAGCACAGTATTCACAAATAATGACTTGGGAGATGGTTCTTTCCAAATCCCTTTGAAATAAGGTATTAGCCAAAGGTTTATAATTGAGAACCATGATTCCTTCCTGTCCCTAGTATCTGCTTTTCTTTTATTCAAGTTCATTTTCTCTAAGCCCCAATTAGAGCTGGGAATATGCACTTGGCAGAAAGACACAGAGCTATCAGGTTAGAGTGTTTTGTTTTTATTTAGATCAGCGGTATGTCACTCGATAATATCTTTGTATACCTCAGAGTCCCTCAGCTCATTCATTTACGGCACGAATGATGTCTGAAGTATAGATGACCCAAACTCATACTGAATATCCTGATGCTTTAGGGTAGCAGAGCCTCTGAAAGAGTTTATATCAGGAATTGAATTTGGAACCAGGAGATAGCTCTGAATTTATGATTTTTCTTAATCTGAGAGGTAAGGTTCTTTGTTGCTTAGAGTCACCTTCGCACCTTTGGATCTGTCATAGGTATAGCACCATCCCTGGTCCAAGGGTTCAAACCTATACTTTGGATGGCTTACTATTTAACATGAGCTGACATCTGAACAGCATGTTTATGTGAATCCTGGCAGGGTCCCCATGACATGGTACCAAGCCTCTATTCTCTCCCTAATATAAAAGAAAAATATACCTTTAAAATAAACAGATTAAAAGGTATAATGATCTGCTACATTTATGTTACAGGACAGCTCAGATATTGGGTAAAGACTTACCCAAATGTTTGTCTGCACATTTCATGGTAACGAAAGTGTTGTCATGTAATATCAATCATATTAAATTTTGCTTTAAAATATTGAAGTCATTCCATAACATTATGAAATATTAAAATCAAATCTGTGAGGCGACTAAAAGGGCCCTGCTTCATAAATTATGTCAGCTAATTCCAGGCTGGAGAACAGAGGGCTCCGTGGAGCTGTGATGGGGAAGGATATAGCCCTCCTCGTTTCTGGAAGAATTGTTTAAAGCAACTGTGCCAGTTCAACCTGGGGAGTTGTGATGACCGTACGTTCTCCAGATGATGGTGGTTAGCCAGGCTTTTCGGGTGCCGCTGATTGGTCAAGTGGCATGCACCTGCTAAGCTCTTTGCTGGGCTGGCTTAGAGCTTTAGGATAAAGAGACCCCGTGGCTGCTGCCCTAAATCAATGCCCGTTCATGGGAGTGCCGCTTTGTGGTGTAGCTGCGGTTTCTTTATCATTATCCCCTGAGAAGCAGCCTGTAATCTGCTTCTCATATAAGAGGGTTCAGTAGTTGTTTGTCCAAATGAGACAGCCATGGGTGAGCGCTGACAGGAGAATACAAATGTCTGGCTAAGTGAACGCATCTGTCCAGCTGCTCCACTGTGATCAACTGTTCGTTCTGAGAATCACTTTTATTTTCTGACTGCTTATTTCCATGTATGGGAGTCTTCCTGGGAGACCGATGCCTTTCATGCACAAGTCTTTATTTACATACTTATTTAATTTATTTTTCCCTACAGAGGGAGAAACAAAAGACAAAAATTCCCTCTCCTGTCATGGGGAAAACAACTGTGGCAGAAGATTGAAGCCCCCACTCCCCCAAAGTGTATAGAGTAAGAGAGCACCCAGCCCTCCATATGACTTTTCGAAAGCTCTTTGGTGCAAACACGGAGCTATCCAGCTTTTGACTTATTAGTCAGCCTGTTTCTTAACCAGCTTCTCAATGGGATCAGGAGCCTGATTTAAGTAAAAGCTCAGTCTTAACCACCATAATAAGAAACGGAGGCATGGCAACTATAGTAAGTTTAAAGGCATACTTTGCTTTCCAAGGGCATCCTGTTTTCTTTAAGTAGAGGTCTTTCGTGTAGCTAAGGAAATTAAACTGAATCATTGTACCTTTAAGGAAATGATGAATTTAGTGAAGAAAAGCTCAAACTCTCTGTAGCTAACATAATTTATGCAAAATCATGCAATTAGTGATAGCTGTGCTAGACATCTTTTTTTCCGAAGGCACCTCTAATAAAACCACATGGTAGCAGTGCCATGCAATGTGAGTAGTAAACGCGGACAGTAAACGATTCATGTCTGGTGAGGCGCAGGGCTTGCATTTTTCCTTTGAGCTGCTTGTGCACATCTGCTAATCATTTTTGCAAAAAAAATGGCAAAGATAAATATGAACTTTTCTTTGAAAAGTAACATTCAACAGGATATGAATGTAATAAAGAGCCCAATGTGAATAGTAAAAACCTGCCCTTTCCGGACGCAAAGTGACATGGTGGTTACTTTCTGCTCCCTCTGTAGCATGAGGTGAATAAGGTTCAAGCATGTTCATACGTGTGCCACCCACTGGGAATGGCCCAGGTCAGGTGATTGGGGTGGCAATTTTTAATCATGTCTCCAGTGCTGTAACCTTGACAGACCCCCCCACTGGCAAATGGGAAGGTAACCCCCCAGCAAATCCTTGTCCAAGGGAAAGCCTGCGCAGCCCTGACCTCACCCTGGGCTAGTCTGCCGAAGGCTTGTGCTATGATCTCTGGGTTCCCGGCCAAGGCAGGGCTAGACCAAAGTTCCTTCCCTCTCAGGCCAGTTCACCTCAGGATGCTTCCGCAGAACTGAAGTGCCTAAGCAGGCAAGGTCAAATTAAACTGCTTCACTGCTGCGCCTTGCTCAGGGGCCCAACCTGGCTTCCAGTCCCCAGGCACAGACCTACAGCAGGACAGGGGTCACAGCGGGATCCCTGCTCTGTAGAGGAGCCAGAGGCACCCATTTTCTCCCCTATTTCCTCCAGAGGCTCCACTCCTCCCCCACTCCTGGCATCCCCTTATCACTAGCTCCATCTCCCTGTGGCATGTTTGTGGGTAGGAGAATGCTGAGGTCACAGGGACAGGCTCTTTATCTGAGCAATGGAGACGCCGGCCTGGAGCCCTGAGCATGAACCAGCAAGACGCAGACTCTTGCTCTTGACTTTGGGCTCAGGGCGCTCCCCTGGCCCCTGGTCAGCCCGCGGGCTCCCTCCTCCCTGCTGCCCTAGCCTGCCTGCAAGCCCGCTCGCTCGATCTGCAGCATTGGTCGGCTTCCCACACCTGTTCTGGTCTGACCCGGGATGCCAAGCTCCCGGAAGCGCCTCGGGCGCCGACCCCGGCCCGCAGCCCCGGGAAGGTGCCAACCCGAGCGAGCCCTGGCGCCACGGAAGGAGACAGGCATTTCACGTGGGCATCTGCCTTCGCTCCTGCTCGAGTCTCTCCTTCGCAGCCCGTGCCAGGCAGGGACCCTCTGTTCGGACTTACCCCCCACGTCCCCCCCACCCCCGAAGTTAATCAGCCTTACTTGCCAGTTCGCTTTAGTTTGGAAAATACTTAAAAACCTCGAAACGTTCAGGGGCACGGCCGCCCCCGGATCGGATCCCTCCGGTTCTGCCTGGCGAGGGCTGTCGGGCGCTCACGAGGCTGTGGCGTTTGTCTGGAAGCGACATCGCAGCCATGCAGCCTCCTCCCTCCCTGGCCATCACCAAAGTTGCCGGACGCCCCTCGGCGACCCTGCTGTGCCAGACGCAGTTGCGTAACCTCGCCCCCCGCCCCAGCTCGCGCCCCGCCTGGTCCGCTCCGGATTGCAATGGCACGTCCTAGCCCCAGGAGCCACGGAAGCCCATCTGGGGGCAAGTGCGAGCGCCCGAGCCGGGGTCGGCGCCCGTCCAGGCAGTGCTCTGCCCACGGCTAAGTGCAGCGGGCGCTGGGGCGCAGGAGGAGGGCGCGCGGGGCTCCGCTTACCTTCCGCTGCTTACAGATAAGTCGAGGTCGGTGCAGCGCCTGGCTCGGGCATGTCTCGCCGCGGACCCGGGCAAGCCTGGCGCGGCACGGAGCACTCCGAGCAGGGCATCCGCGGCGAGGCTCGCTGAGCTCGCGCAGGGGAAGGCTCTGTCCGCCGCCGCCGGCCCGGCCCGCCCGGCCCGCCGGCCCCCGCGCCGCAGCTCGCGTCCCTCCGGCCCGGCTCAGCGAAGCGCGCGAGGCAGGGGCTCAGCCGGCGCCGGGGACGCCCGCGCGCTCGCTTGCTCGCGGCGCGGCGGAGCCAGCCACAGCCACCCGGCTTCGTGCTCCTCCGATGTCCTCATTTACTGCAATTGTCTTCGGCGAGATCTCGGAGCCGGGCCGGGAGGTGGGGGCGGAGCGGAGGAGGGAGCGGGAGGGAAGTCCTTGCAGCCGCCCCCGGGACCCAGCTACTCCATGGAGCCGGGCGGCCGGGGGAGAGGGCACCGGAGCCGCGCGCCCGCCGCCTGTGCGCCCGGCTGGCACCAAGGCGGGCGGAGCCCTGGGCCGGCGGGGGCGGGGTGGGGGCGGCGCGGGGCCGGGCCGGGCCGCGTGCGTGGGGTGGGGGATCCGGAGGGAGCGGAGGAGCCCCCGCCCGCCGACACCCGAGCCCGGAGCTGGAGGAGGCGGTGGAAGGAGCCGGCGGCGGCTGCCGCCTGCGCGCGGGCTGCACGGCAGCGCGTCCTCGGGGTCTCTGGGCTGCAGGCGGCGCTGCGCTGCCCAGGAACTTGTTGAGTCCACCCTGGAGCCGCCTCTGGAGCAGCTGGAGCGGGGGATCCAGCGTTTTCTCCTGGGAGGGGTCGCTGGGGACCCCTTGAGATGGCGGGTTGCTGCGCCACCTGGCTGAGCCCAGGGCGGCTTTGAGAGCCAGGAGCTGGGTGCGTGCCCCCTCACCGGCGGGTTGTTCTGGAGGCCGGGGTCAAGGGCAGGTTTCCCTGCCGAGTCCAGCCCAGGGCCAGCGCCTGTCAGTGGAGACCGACGCCAGGCTAGCCGTTGGTGACCTGGGCACCTGAGTGGAAGTGCCTGCCGGTCTGGGGCCGCTGACATTTAGGAAACTCCAGAGCAGTCAGCACGGCTCCTCCCAACCAGGCTGACCCCACCCCTCCCCCAACACACGCCAGCCACCTACAAATGTCACAGGGCTCCTGCTGCATCTGTCTCAGGGCAAAGTTGAGCTCGCTTGCAGAGGAAGAGATCTAGGATGCATGAGGAGTGACAGCCCCTGTGCCCCTCCACCCCCAAATCCACCAATGAGTAGATCTGAGCTCCAAGCAGCTGGCCCAGCGACTTCTTCTGTTCCTGGCAGGCCCTGGGGCCTGGGCCTGGGACTAAGTAGCCAGCTGCCCAGAGGCTGCATGGCTTCCTACATTCCCCCAGGCTTGGGGCTTGAAGTTCGCTTTCCTTGGACATACTTGACTGTAGCCACATTTCTTAGTCTGAATGAATATTTCCCAGGGAAGGACAGAGAAATGGTGGACCCCAAGGCCGTGACAGGCTTTGGGGAAAGAATTGCAAGGACAAGTGGGAAAGTGCTCTCACTCGCCCACCACTTCCGACACAGCTGGAGGTGCCCACACCTGCCAGCACATCCCTGAGCCCCTGCCCCCAGCACCAGCCCTGTGCCTGGGACCAGCCATCGCTCAGTCCTTGTTTTTTATTTGAACTGAGCCTAACCCTGTGCTTTATATCGTGTCTGTTCTTTATAAATGGCTTTACATGGAATACTCGATTTATCTACATGTGGGTGCTTTGGTGATGTGTACAAATATTGCAGGGGGGAAAAAAAAGCGTCCTAAGATCTTTTCCTTTCTCCTCTTACCTCGGCATGTTTGGGGGACACAACTCTACAGCTCCCAGGCATCCAGGTATGGCCAGGAGGGGTGTCCTGAACCTGTGGGTTCGAACTGTGCTCACCTGGTGCTGGTTTTTACCACAAGTCTCATGTTCAACCCATTCCCTTGTCTGGCTGCCTGGTAGTGCTGGTGGGAGCTGGCTGGAGAGGTACGATTCCATCCGTTATAATTTTAGGTGATGTGGGAGCAGCCTGGAAACCTACCACCCAGCTCCTCTGCCTGGAAGGGACCTGATGTTGGGGATGTGTAGGGCTTGGGGACATTTAATGCCAGGTGGGAGGGGTCATCACCATGGGTCCTTCCAACATCGTCTCTGAGGACTTGCTGTTGTTTCTGTGGGCGCAGTGATTCTCCAGTGGTCTGGGGGAACTTTCTATAAATCTTGCTTTAATGCTAATCCATAAAATCAAAACCTGCCTTCCATCTCTTAAACATGTCACTGTACATAAACCTGCCAGGAAATAGTCTAAAATTTTAGGGGCCATGAGTGAAAACAGATAAACATAAATGCATGTACCGCAGGTCAGAGCAGAGCCACAGTTGGGGGTGGAAGATGAAAGCAAATGACTCTGGGGACAATGTTCTTTAAGGTCCCCCTGATGTATAAGCCTAGGAAGAAAATGAAATCTGCAATTGGCAGGTCAGAGAGTGGAGTTCAATTGAACTTATGTCATTAAGACTACTTTTTGTTACTCAGTAATCTAGTAGACTCATAGTTGTTTTTCTGAGTCTATTAAAATCATTGGTACCACTCCCCCCTTTTGAAGGAAGACACCATTTGTCTACTGTAAGTCTTCAACTTTACAAACGTAAATTTTGACAAAAACGTGTTTCACCACACCTTTGGCTGTGGAGATGTATTCCACATGGGTGAGGCTGATAGGTCATCATGCTCTAACCTTTAAGACAAACACTGTGCCAGGGGGCTGGTGTGGGAAATAGGGGTCTCCGCTGTCATCCTGCCCACAGACCCCTTCCCCGTCGCATTATATTTTATGGAAGAGATGTGTGCATGTTTTCAGGGTCTACAATGAATCGTTATGTTCAGTTTTCTCAGAAAAAGACTTAAGGTTGGTAGAAAGTCGATTCATTTTAGGAATCAGGTAAAAACTGGTTTCTTATATTTTGCTTCAAAGTTTTGCTGAAAAAGATGGACTCGCAAAGGGAAAGAGCTGTTTTTAAAGTGGGATTTCCTGAAAGCAGAAGCACCTAAAGAATGAAAACACAAAACCTCTGAGTCGCCTCCCTTTTGCTGTCTTCTTGGATATGAGCAGGTGTTGTGCAGAGAACTGCTAGGCTACTGGCTCTACAGCTTAGTAACTTTCAAGGTCTCAATTTCCACATTAAAAAAGGGAAGAATATCCAAGTCAAAGCTGTGTAAGAATGTCCATAACGGTTTTGTCCATCTGAGTTCCAACCTGGAAATACCCCACATGTCTATCAGCAGCGGACGGATGAAAATCTCTTGGTTTATTCAGACAGTGGAGGGCTTACTACACAGCAAGCAAGGGGCTAACTGCTGATGCATGGGGCAGCGTGAGGGACGTCCTCAGACCTTAGGCCGGAGGAGCGAGGCACAGAGAGTCTGTCCCACGATTCCATGTAAGTGAAGTCCCAGAATGTGCAAACGTTCTCCGTGGTGGTAACGTCAGCATGGGCACCTCCGGGCGTACTCGCTGCGCAGGCCCCCAGTGCCTTCTCTGGTGCTGACCATCCTGCCTCATGAACTAGGTGCTGGCAGGGTTATATATTGGGTTGTCGGAAAAGTCATGACGCATTTTTGCAACGAAAGACAGAAAACATACGTCATGATTATTCCGACAGCCCAATACACGTGGACAACTTCATCGAGCTGTTCTCTTTTCTCAGTCTGCCTCCATTCTGTCTAGGCGTTACCCGTGTGTGTTTGCAATATGGAGGCAACACTCCCCAATAAGTCACCCCTTTAAAAGATCCAGCTTATCAGTCAGTGACATTAACTTGAATTGGCTGAAGTCACTTTCTCCCCAAAACCCAAACTAAGAGAAAAGAGGGGTGTCCACGCACTGTCTGCTGCTGTGGAGGAGACTTCCTGTTGGAGACCCTTCTCTGGGACACTGCCAAGGAACCCTGCCTGACTCTCGAATGCAGCCCCGTAGAATTCACTCGGAAATGACTTTGCTACCTCATCCCTTCCTGTTCTAAAGTGACCGTCAGGTGAGCATCTGTCTGTGATGGCAGATGACTGCACCTCCAGCTCCGAAGCTCTGGTCCTTATCTACAGCTGGACAGGTGGCTCGGGCAGACCCCAGCCTGTCGGGCAGGGATCAGACACATCAGGACGCTTCTCTCTCCTCCTTCAGAGCCAGACGCAGTGCTCAGATGGCTCCCGCCAGAGCCCGTCCTCTGCCTGGAGGGCTGAGGAGCCCTCCTGAATCACTCCCTTTTTCATGTTCCGCTCAGGCACCTGCTGTCCATTCTCTGAACGGCCTTTCTGAGCGTACGAGTCTCCCTCTGTAGGAAGCCCCGGCCTGTGGTTCTTCACTGTCCTGGCAGCCAGCCGTGTTTCCTCGGGGTGGGAATCAGGGCTGTTGGTGAAGTGCTGGTCTGTGCTCCAGGGACAGTCCCAAGCCTACTGCTTTTCCCTCCACGATGAGGGGCTCCAGATGGTGTATTGGCCCGGACGACAGTGTGGTCCGGACAATGTGAACATCATGCACACTAGTTGAAATCCCCACTTTTCTATCATGCCTCACTGTATATCTAGTTGATCTGTAGGAAGCGGAATGGTTTCATTTTGAAAGAGAAGAAGGGAGTTGGCTCCAGGTTTTCTTTCGCACATCACACAACAGAGGCAATAATACACCTGAAAGGGTGAGGCATCGGCAGGTGCTCTGAGCTCTGGCCTCCGCCCCAGCCCCTCATTTGTAGGGCTCTGTTCAATCCCACGGCTTTCCCGTGGGCTGCTGACCTGGTCAGGCTCAGTGGCGGGGTCCACGGGGCTTCTCCCTACCCAGGTTAATCTAGAGGGTAACAGACCCTTTCTGGATGAAGGGACGGCGTAGGGCTTTTCTTAATCCCTTCTGGTGAGGACAGCCATGTTGCTGAGCCTGCCGAAGTCATGCCTCATAAAACAGGTGACGTGCCCAGGCTGAAAGATGCTACCTTTGACGAGAATTAGGTCATGAAGTGATAAAAATTGCTTTCATATTTCAGTGTCTGCTCTGCTAACCCACTTTGCTGGTGTCACCACTGTTGATGGCCCTTCCCTGGGCTGTGTCTCCTGGTGAGCACAGGCCTGAGTGCTGTGGCGCCTCAGGTCCAGTTATTCCCTTGCTCGCCCTCCATTTTCACCTTAGGGGCCGGGAGAGAAGGAGAAGAAAACGGAACCCTCCCTACTCCACTCCTGTTCCGCCACAAACCCTGATGGGCAGTCATGACGGCCCACGTTTGTTGTATGCCTGCAGGACACTAGGCACTCTCTCCTCCTGTCCTCACTAGGCAACTCTGAAATAAGTACGGCTATACTCTCCCTGATGAAGACCAGAGAAGTTAAGTAATTTCTCCAATGTCACACAGCTAGGAAATGATGGAGCCTACACTCAAATCTAGCTCTACTGGATGTCACCATGCACCGCTGTCCCACTCAGGTTTCTTATGTTAATAGGAACTTGAGATTTGTTC